TGCAAACATGTGTCAGTAGAGTTGCTTGGTGATGTAGGCAGTGAGAAAGAAAAGAATTATGGGATGAAGGAAGAAAAAACAAGTTATATTCAACCTACTCATCAACTTACCGAACCAGAGCAGAATTGCAGTGACAAAAGGCATGCTAGCGATATCCTGTCATCTATGAGCGGAAACAGATCACAGCAATCTTTCGCCTCTCAACATGAGAATCCTTGCATTGTTATTGCTCAGCCTCAATTAAGCCGCATACCTAACTCTGAACCCCATAACCTGGATAGTTTAAATGCTTCCAATCGCAGAGCCCTCCTTCATCCAACAACATCTTCTGTTATAGAAGGAAAGATTAAATCTAGTTCATTTATCAAGTCACGGAGGGGCACTATAGTATCTTCGGAACCGGTTGTCAATATCTTCGATTACGCATCGCACCCGCAGAACCAGATACAAGGCCCCCGCTTAAGCATCTGTGCACAACCTGAGAATCTAGCGGCAAATATACCCGATATTCAACCTACCCTTTCCGGTACCGAGTTTCGCGTTTCACAAGAACAGGACGAGGACCATAGACTAAGGAGGCGCCGCTCAATTAATTCAAGGTTTTATTTCTGCATGCATGATAGGGGAGGTGTAGATGCGATCAAGAATACTAAATCGAATCTCATCCTAGAATCGAACGTCACAGAGGATTATAGTGGCGATATTCTCTCGAACCATGGCATTGTGAAACTTAATATTTCCGGCACCCTGTTTCATGTGCGGCGTTCCACTCTAGAGAATGATCCTCTTGTTTACCAAGGCATTTTAGAGCAGGCTATCTGGCTTGAGCAACGACGTGAGTACTATCTTGAGAGAGATCCCATGGTATTTAGATTTGTATTTCACTACCTCCGCTTTGGAGACCTACATTTGCCTGGTAACTTGTGTGGTCCATTCTTAGAAAAAGAGCTGCAGTCCTGGGGCATCCAGATGGGCTTCGAAGTCCAGCGCTGTTGCCTAGGTGCCGTTATGGAGACCAAAGTGAATCTGGACTCGTTGAAGCATTTTGAACAAGATCTGCGAGGAGAGAACATAAAGCCGAGACATATGATTAGGTAGGCTCTTTGGCAGTTAAAGAAAAGAAATTAGTCATAAATTATGTAAATTAGAATGATATGATAGATAAAATTATAATTCACATGACCCAATATAAAAGCTTGAAAGTCAAGTTAAATTATTATTTTGAAGAAGTAAATAAAACCACCAAGATAATATTTATGGACTCTTTTGGTGCCGAAATAGAAGTAGATAACACCTTGAAATTTTCCATTATAAAAAGTTCATAAGGTAAGTTTAGGTTGCAAAACATGGCTCAATGTTTTACGATGAAGTTTTATAAATGCATTTTGAACGGAAAGATAAATGTTTAATGGTTAACTATTTAAAATTAACTTATACTTTTTTACATTGATTTGGACCGTACCATAACAATAAGGTCCTCAGGAGAATGCAAACAATAAAAAATAGAAGTTGTTTAAAATGGTTTTCGCAACTTGTCATATTGTTAGGAAGACTTAGAGGAGCACACCTAGTCCGGATTCCTTTGTATGCATGATAATTTCCAGTCTGACCATGAACTTGGTACATTTTAAGACGTCTCGCCTGTATCGTAGTCGACATCATCAGTGAGTATTTCTAGTCTCAGCAACCTAGCTGTACCTCGTCAAAGAGGGGCATATAATTCATTGACTTGGTATTACGGATAGAAACAGTATATACGCGGTGGAGAAT